ATAAATGGGCAAAGGAACTGAACACACACCTCACAGAAGAAGAAATACAATCAACAAATACATGAAAAAGTGTTCAACATCTCTAGCAATTAAAGAAATGCAAATTAAAACTACACTGAGATTTCATCTCACTCCAGGCAGAATGGCAATGATCAACAATACAAGAAACAATAAAGATTGGTAAGTATGTGGGAAAAAAGGTTCACTCATACATTTCTGGTGGGACTACAAATTGGTGCAACCATTCTGGAAAGCAGTTAGTAGATTCTTCAGAAAACTTGGAATGGAAATACTATTTGACCCAGTTATTCCACTCCTTTGCATATATTCAGCCACATCAATGTTTTAGCAGCTCAATTCACAATAGCTAAGCTATGGAACCAACCTAGGAACCCTTCAGCAAATGAATGGATAAAGAAAATGTAATATATATATATATATATATATATATATATATATATATATATACACACACATATACACTATGGACTATTACTCAGCCATAAAGAATTAAATTATGACATTTTCCAGTAAATGGGTGGAACTGGAGATTATCATATTAAGGGAAATAAGCCAATCCCAATAAACCAAAGGCTAAATGTTCTCTCTAATATGTGGATGGTAACTCACAATAAGGGGGTAGGGAGACTAGATGGAGTTTGGATTAGACAACGGGGAATGAAGGGAAAGGAAGGAGAATGGGAATAGGAAATAGAATAAATAAGACATAACTTTCCTGTGTTCATATATGAATACATGACCAGTGTAACTCCACATCATGTACAACCACAAGAATGGGAAATTATGCTCCATGTATGTATAATATGTCAAAATACATTCTGTAATGTATAACTATGAAGAACTAATAAAAATGTTTAAAAATAATAAACTGAAGACTGTAAAAAAACAACAACACAGATTTGGTCTGATAAAGCTGTCAAAAGTCAATTTAACCTGAAAAAAGAATTATAATGGCATTGAAAACCTATTTAATCTCTCTGTTGCTTCATTACCACAAACTTTAAAATATTAAACTAGATTTACATTAGCATTTACAAGTTAATTTAACATGAAATCTTTGTATTGGGTAAAGATTATTTAGGATGTTTTAAAGTTTGGGGATACTAAACTAAGAATTTACCACATATTCACCATCAGGATAGAAATTGTGTCAGTTGAGAACATGTCTTTGTGAAATTCAAGGGTAATCAGGACTTCTGGCAATTTCATTATTTTCTGAAAAGAATTTATTAGGACTGAATGTGTAAACACTTATTAAGATTATTAGATAAATAATGAGAAAAATGCTATGGGAACATGTATCTGGGTATCCCCACTTAGAGTTCAGAAAACAATAGGCTTCTTAACTAATTTTTTTTTAAAGAGAGAGAGAGAAGAGAGAAAGAATTTTTCATACTTATTTTTCAGTTTTCAGTGGCCACAAATCTTTATTTTATTTTTATGTGGTGCTGAGGATCAAACCCAGCACCCCGTGCATACCAGGTGAGCGTGTTACTGCTTGAGCCACATCCTCAGCCCCTTCTTAACTATTTTAACTTCTGAAARCATGTAGGAATGTGTAACTATCAGAATCATCTGGTATCTTTTATTTATTTATTTGGTGGAGCCATTATGTTCCAGTATGTTTGACTTTGGAGTAAGAGTGAGTGAGTTAAGAGGTGGCAATGAGAATTTTCTCCTAAATAGTTTGATCTAATTAAGGGCAAGTATCAACAATCAAAACGTTCCTCCCTAAGAGCAGGGACTTCTCCAGGAGCAGTGATTTTAAAAGCTGTGTGCTTGTTAGAATCACTGGGATGCTTTTAAAGTTCCTAGTGCCCAGGCTGCACCCCAAGCCAATTAACCTCTTAGAGTGGCACCCAGGCATCTGTACTTTTAAAAAACACTCTCCAGGTAATGCCATGTGTAACCAAGGTTGAGAATCTCTCCACTTACGAGGCACAGCTGAACTTAATCACTCACATCAAGATCTCCAGGTCTACCTCTCACTCTTGATATACCAAGGTCAGGATAAGGAGTTTAAGTATGCTTTGAGGAAAAAACAAACAAACACTAAACTAAGGCAGTCTCATAGCTGGGGCTCAGTGTTTAAAAGAACAGGCCTAATGCTAMTGGCTAAAGCAAGTTGTTCCCCTCTTGGACATAAACCCACAGAACATCAGTTAAGGTCATCCTAAACCACAACAAAGTGAGACAAAACAAGGTCACTGTGCAACCCTTGCAACAACAAACATTCCCACTCTCCTACCAAGTACTGCTTTATCTTCACCCTAGTCAGCTCTCTCCAAAAACTAGATTTATTGGGATACCCAATCAGAGAATTGGCCTCACCTTTCAACAACACCCTAGCTAGAATGAACCTTGAGTTCCTTAGGCCCTCTCCAAAATTGACCCAGTCTAAGTGCATGTCTTATAATGGGTTCTATCTAACACCTTTTTACTGAGAGGTCTCAGGGATCCAAGTGTAAGCAATCTCCTTTGTGGCAACAAATAATAAACAATACCTATCAATCACAGAGGTATTTCTGGTGGTCTTTGGTTGGAGAGCACTGATACCCTTTCTCTTAAGGGTTACCAAGAATATTGAAAAGTTCACTTGGAGGGTCAAACTTGAGCAATGTTGCCTCTGAATTGGGCAGATCATAGTGGTTGTTAACTTTGGCTACACATTAAAATCACCTGGGGAATCAAGGCTGAACCCCAGATTAAATTTAAATCAGAATCTCTRCAGATAGGACCCAAACCCCTAGTATCACTATATCTCCCCCAGATGATTCTGAAAAGTAATAAATACAGGAATAAAAATTACATAGACTGTGAAACTATACAGATTTGAAAACAGTCCAATGGAGTTGAATTAGTTTGCACAGTCTTTCAACCTACCAGCAGAAGCCTGTCAGTCAGACCTTTCTGTTCAGGAAGCCTGACCACAGGAGTCTGTACTTTTACTTTGTTGCTAATATGACCAACCTTTGTAAAGGGTTGTCTGCAAGGCTTTTAGATACTGGCAATACAGTAACAAGTAAAAAGCAGCAAGAAGTATACATATTAAAAAGATGAGCTCAACTATGTAAATGAAATATAAAAGACACTTGATGATATGCATGGAGGTTTTTTTAGTGCTTTTGAAATGTTTACATGTTTATTTTTAAAAAGTCAACAATAAGCATGTATTAATTTGTTTTTCTCTTTCAAAATATTGTTTTCACAATCATAAAAGAACACACACACACACACACACACACACACACACACATATATATTTAAAAAGACAAATCACTGAACTAGAGAGGAAGTTTAATGGTAACTAACTGGTCACTTAGCAAGGCTGTCAGAGGGAAAGCTATGAGCAGGTACTAGGAAATGCTAAGCTACTCTTATGAGAGAATCATAAGAATTCACTGAAGGAAGTTTAAGACCTTTGATGTAAATTCTGTTTTCCATGTAAAGTAGATAAAATTAACTGAGGGTGGCTATTATCTATTGCTTCAAACCCTTATCAATTAATGATTAACCCAGTATTAAGTAAGTTCTTTTGGTTTCAATATTTCTCATATTTTTATTGCTGTTTAAAGATATAAAACTTAAAGAAAACCTCACCTGTTGGTGTTCCAAATGAGATTAAAGAAGGTCAGGAATATGTAACAACATAAGCTATTAGTTTCTGTTCAGATAAAGCAACAATAAAGATTAGCATATTCTTCCTTCATTCAACTCCCTGCTTGGAGTTGCTGCCAGAACATGTGCATGCCCAGATCTAAGTAATCAGTTTGTGGTTATATAAAGAATCCTTTCAACTAATTAGAACAAATTTAAAAAACAAAATTCAATAAGAAAAAACAAAAGAATTCTTTCAAATAGTTGGGTAGATGTGGGGTGGATAATAAATTGAGCAGTGCTTGGTATTGTAAGTGAACCCAAGGTGTCACTGGCTATTCTGCATCACAAGGGATTCTGCCCCTTTCATTTAAGTTGAAAGTATCATAAGAGAGAGACATTACTAATTGTGGTAAATCATAAGATATCACTAGAAATAATTAAAGGAGAAAGAATGGTGTTTTTTCCTTCTTTTTAGAAAACCACCTGAAGGCCTCCTAGAAGGCAAACTTTATGCTTCTGTGATCCTCTCTGAATTTTACAGAGATACATAATAAAGTCACATTCAGATTAACTGCAAGAAACAACAGTATGGATGAACACGGAATCCATATCAATGTAACGTTTTATAACAAACTTCCTGGCACATGGATGGAATTTTTCAAGACGGTATTATTGAGCACTCCCAAGGACCTCCCTGAAATCATTCTAGTATTGTCGTTAATCTGTGCTATTGGAGGTAAGTGTCATTCTAGCTCCAATTTTATATTTTGGGTATATCATATAAATGCTACTATGGGGAATTCAGGCAAGTAGCAATCATGGGAAATAATAGTTTTGTACTTAAATTTATCCTTTTATCTCAATATTTTCAATCAAAACAATTATGTAGCATATGACTTCCATATTCTTCTCCATCGGATTAAAAATATGCACAACTTCCTACTGGCTGTGTCAGGGTTCAATCTCAGCAATAAGGATAATGGAAGCAAATGAGCAGAAAATCACATGTTAGGGTAGGATGTCTCATGAGTTATACTCAAATGATAAATTTATGCCTAGTTATGATACAAAGAACCAAAATAAAGTGCTGTTCTTCAGGGTTTTTTYCCACTTTCTTTAAGAATTATATATGGGGCTGAGGATGTGGCTCAAGCGGTAGCGCGCTCGCCTGGCATGCGTGCGGCCCGGGTTCGATCCTCAGCACCACATACAAAAAACAAAGATGTTGTGCCCGCCGAAAAAATTAAAAATAATTATTAAAAAATTCTCTCTCTCTCACTCTCTTTTTTTTTAAAAAAAAGAATTATATATGAAAAAGCAGAAAAAAATTAAATGAAAGAAAAAACTATGATTTATTTGTTGCACTTTGATAACAATGATAATGTTTCTCAGGAGTTTTCATTAAATGTATTCATTAACCTTTCATTGCAGAATTGCTAGTTAAACTAACCTCTTATTTATGGTGTATTCAAAAACTAATATAAATATTTCAGTAAAAACCAGACAACCAATGATTGTTAGCAATGTTACTAAAGATTATAAGGAAACGAGATACATCACAGGAGAAATAAAGCAAGAAACTGATAGATTAACAATTAAACTGATTCCGTGTACTGCAAGTGTGAGGGAAGGTCTCAGTTATAGGAAAATAGAAAATTAGCAATGGAACAGTAATTCATCCTCAGTATTAAGAAATCTTAGCACATAAAAGTTCTATATATGTGATATTATATTGCCTTTCAGTAACAACATTTTTTTTGCAGCATTTTTGAACATGCACTTGAAAGACTTTCCAATTCCTCTCCCTGTGATATTATTTTTAATTGGATGCAGTTTTGAAATGCTAAGTTTTACATCTTTCCAGGTGTGTATAATAAATGAGTATTTTGCACTATAAGAATTACATAAATGCAAAGATGGCTTACGAAAATTTACAAAAATACTCGTCCCCTCTCTGCCCCGCTTGTGTTTGTGATGGAGATGCTTGTGATATAGAAAAAGGATCAAGGGCTGAAAAAGATGAGATCCATGTAAATATAGTCAAAGAAGAACCCACGACTGAAAGTATGTAGGCAACTCAGAATGAGCGTGCATACAGCCCCTGAGCAGCAGTGGCCAATGGGTGTTTCAGCAGAATTCAATAGCGTAGACAAGAAGTTRGCTAACAAGATAGAAGCTCAGGGAGAATGTGCTGCTGGTGCAGAATTTTAGTAGCAAAATAATTCTAATATTGAACCATCTTTTGGCCTCAGAAATGTTTCATAGGGTTTCCTTCAGAATAGATGATAGTGTGTAAGCGTATCTAGGGTAGAACATATGAAAAAATAACTTGTCTGGAGTCAGAAGTGAGGAATAAGGTAAACTACAGATATAGCCAAGGAAGCTATAGTATTTTAAAATAGTTGGGAACAGAGTCAGGGAGAAGAAAGGGAAAATGCTTACTCTAAGTTACATAGAATGCATTACTGTATATATTAAATAGAGCTATAGCCCAAGAGTTTGTGGCAAACTTCTGTGAAGGGCCACACAGAAAATATTTTACAGTATGTGGGCCTTATGATCTCTGTCCAGCTATTAAACTCTATCACTACAGCTCAAAAGCAGCCAAGGGTAGTACATAAATGAAGTGGCATGGCTGGGTCCCAATAAAATTTTATTTACCAACAAACCACAAAAACCRGTAGGCCAGATTTGGCCCAGGATCTATAGTTTGCCTACCCTAGTTAGTCAGCATGGATATGAGAACTTGTCTGAAAATCATTGACTTTCCCAAATAAAATTAGCCAGTAATGTTAAAAATATTACAGAAAACACACATTCATGTAAAAAACCAAAAGCAGGTTATTACTTCACTTATCATAAAGAAGTTTTATAATTATATGATTTTAACAAAAATGCAATTTCAATTATTTCTATAAACTTTATTATTTGTCAGTAACTTCTTCAAAGGAAGAGACCACATGTCAAGAGTTGTGAAGGGAGTCAGATTTTACTCCACTTTCGGGCTAGCCTGCCACAATTTCATGGTCCAGGCACAAGACAGGGAATACCTGGGTTAGAGACAGAGGATTTATTATGCAATAACAATAATCAGAGTATGAGCCTTTTCCTGTGCTTGTTCTCAGAATCCCCATTGCACAAAGAGAAACAAAGAGGTGTTAGTGAAATCTGCACACCCAATGAGACTGAATTATTAAGTGAGACACCTGAGTTTAGGGAACCTGAATCTCTTAAATTGGATTGTAAAATCATTTGCTTGCTTGTCCCAGAGGGAGAAGTTATTTTTATTATTCTCGGCTGTAAATTAAACCTGAACTCTCCTCTGGAGAAACACTCTTGCTCTGTATCCCAAGGCTGTTAGCCTTACAAGTATTCATGAAACACAATCAGGGCCTGCTTTCATTAGACCTGGAGTAATAAAAGTAACTTGTGGAAAATTATCACCCCCAAAATGGTCAGTGTTTATGAGTGAAAGTTGAGTGGATATCCATAACCGGATTTACTAATGTCAATTAGATATTTTATGATGCACATCATTAATTAGTTATTTCATAAACTTTATTAACTTTTCAGTTTCTATTTTTGTTAGTCTTTTATACTTTCACATGTATCTTCTATATAAGCCATGACTAAATATTTGTATTTTCTATAATTTAATATAATCATTTATTCCTTCATGGATATTTGTACGTTAATCCATCCATCTGAAATTTTTCTCTTGTATGCCTGAAAATCTACTATGTATTCTCTGACTCCTATATCAATGTTTCCTATACCTGTTTACAAAAATAAAATAGGCATAGAGAAGTACATTAACTTTCTTCTGTAATTGGAAATAATAATCAGATGGAAAATAATGAAAATCCAATAGAATTAAGACTTTAGCACTTAACAAACATTATGTCATAACTTTTCAGATTTTTTTTTTGTAATGGTACTGGGAGTGGAACCCAGGGGTGCTTTATCACTAAAGTACATCTCCAGCCCCTTTTAAGTTTTTATTTTGAGATAGGGATCTTGCTCAATTGCTTAGGACCTCAGTAAATTTCTGAAGCTGGCCTCAAACTTGAGATCCTCCTACCTCAATCTCCCAAGTTGCTAGATTTCAGATGAGCGCCACTTATATCTGATACATTTTCAGATTTTCTTTCTCCGTTGCTAGAGATAGGAGTATGTGGTATATATTTATACTAAGAAAGAGATGGACAAATAAGAATAAAAGAATTTTATGTTACTAGATCCAAAAATATGCAGATGCCATACAATGGATGAACCCAGAGTTATTTTTTGGTATATTTACACCAGTAATTATCTTTAATGTTGCATATGACATGGATGTATACATGCTTCAAAAGTTATTTTGGCAGGTAAGCATTCTTTTTCAGTAATAYCTTTCACTCATGAACCATATCATTTATTTTCAGATTTTTAAAATTTTGCTACAAAATAGAAAACAAAAAGGATTGAAAAAAAGTACATAGTAGGGCTGGGGATGTGGCTCAAGCGGTTGCGCGCTGGCCCRGGTTCGATCCTCAGCACCACATAGAAACAAAGATGTCGTGTCTGCCAAAAATTTAAAAATAAATATTAAAAATTATCTCTGTCTCTCTCTCACCTCTCTCTTTWAAAAAAAAAAGTACATAGTATCAGAGTTTAAATTCAGCTTAGTATTTTAGTGAATAAACTATCTTGGCAATCATCTAGCACATGAGCAACCCAGGAGGAAAATGATGGGGTGGGGGGAGCAATTCTGAAAATCTGACTGGCAGAACTTCAATTAAAATTTTTATTCTGAGAAGCTACAAGAGAGCTATTATGAAATATATTAGCTCTAGGAAAAAAGAAACTGTTAAGAAAAATCAAATTTTAATTCTTACAGTCTAAAGCTTCCTATATCCACATTTCAAAAGAATAAAAGCAGATAAGAAAATGCATAGAAGCAGATGTAACCCTATTTAAAWTTTTTTTTTTTAATCTTGGGAAATTTGGACTGTATCAGGGAAAGACCTTGTGATAAACTACTTCAGATCAGGAGCAGGATGTATATTTCTTTCAAAGTAATCAAAACAGTTTTGTAAATAGAAGGCATTACCTAAAACAAAACTATTAGAACAGTTTACATTTTAATCCAAATCCAGGTACATTACATTCAGACAAATGACAAAAAATGAAACTGAAAAGAACAGAGATATGATTTGGGTTGGGTTGACTCAGATGATCTCCACTAAGCCATTTCCTGCATTTCTGGTCTTGTGGGATGAGGTGGGGTTTTCAGGCAGGGGTTAGCTGGAACAGGGCCAATTGAGGGTCTTCCCATTCATGCATCTCTTGGTAGGTGCTGTTAGTGTTATCTGGTTCTACGTTTCTAAAAACAAATTGTGATCATCTGCTTTCTAAAATGGAATATAAAACCAATCTGATTTTTCTACTCTGAACTTTCTTTGCAGATACTTTTAATCACAATTCCCGGCTTTGTGATTAATTATGTTTTAATTCTTTGGTATCTGCAATCTGTGAATAAATTACTTTTGAAGACCATCCCATGGCTCCTATTTGCAGTTATTCTTATGAGTTCGGACCCCATGCTGACTGCAGCTGCCATAAGAGACCTTGGTAGGTATATTTTTCTTATTTCCTGTATTGAATATATCATATTTTATAGTTCACGTTTGTTTAAGATCCCTTTGTGTGTGGTAGTTTTCCACTATGTGAAGTAGTCTAGCAAGGAACTGGATGATTAGTAAAGATTCTGGAAGTGAGGGTTAGGACAGAAGAATGGGCTTAGATAGTGTCAGTAATGGGCTTAGATAGTATCCAAAAAAGGCCTTATATCTAGTTGTGAATTAGGACAGGAATAATTTAGAATTCTTTATACATGCTTCTACTTGAGCCAACAGAACAATTATGAAGCATTACACTGTTCCATACTCATGTGGTGACGTTTCTGCTACCCAGTTTTGTTTTGTTTTGTTTTTTTCTTCTCTCTTTTGAAAACAGTCATTAGGATGATGCCACTTTAAAAGAGAAATTCTTTTGGAGTCATTGTCACCATTAAGACCAAAAGCCTAAAACAGTTAAAAATGATAAAATTATCAATCACATAGTGTTTATAATATATAAATTGCTTTTTGATAAATAAATCTATATTTAAAGGTAAAATACCAAGTTAATTTAAGAAAAGCAAAACAATCTGAGAGCCTCATACAAGAAAAGTAATAAACTAACTTCCTCCCCAGTTACTTTTTAATAATGGGTAATAAAAAAAATGCTTCAAAATAGAATACTAATATGACATGCCCATGTATATTCTCTCTCTCTCTCACACACAGACACACACACACACACACACACACACACACATTCATTTCAATTTCATCTTCATGTTATGGCCAGTTAAGGAGAAAAGACCTATAAGAGACAAGTGGAAAGAAAGCATGAGGTAGACACAGCTTGTGTAAATATATGAAGAAACACAAGAATAAAGGAAAATTGAATATTCATGAAAAGGAGTGAGGTGAATGTTTGGAAGGAAGTGCCGATCCAGCATCAATCACCCTATCCTCAATATGTGTCTTCCTCCCTCTACTCTTTTAACCCACATTGTTACTTTTATGTGACTTTGTGTCAGCACTTTCTTTTCAATAAATATGAGGGAGTTCTATAATACCTGGAATCTGATTTCACATCTTTTTTTTTTTTTTTACTTCTTAATGTTTTTTTGTTTGTTTGTTTTGTGTTTTTTTTTTTTCTGGTATCAGAGATTGAACCCAGGGGTGTTTTACCACTCAGCTACATTTTGAGATAGGGTCTCGCTAAATGCTTACAGTCTCACTAACTTGCTGAGGCTGGCCACAAACTTGTGGTCCTCCTCCCTCAGCCTCCCAAACTGCTGGGATTACAGGCATGCACCACTGTGCCCAGYTTAACTTCACAATCTTGAAACCCAGTATTCTACTGATTTTTTTTTCTAGCCTGTCATTTTTGAATTTAAATAATCTATTTGGTGGATCTTGCAAAGTTATTCTTATAAAGGTTAGCCATCTTGATACTACCTTTTTTTTTAACCTTTAATTAATTAATTAATTAATTTTTATGTGATGCTAAGGCTCGAACCCAGCACCTTGCATGTGCTAGGCAAGCACTCTACCGCTGAGCCACAACTCCAGCCCCTTGACACTACCTTTTTKWGTTTTATTTTTTCCTCACTATGAATCTTTCAAAAAAATTTTAACTCATTTCCTCTTAGCAGCATTTTTGCCTGAATTTTCTAAACAAGATTTATAAATGCATGTTCATATATATTTATAAATGTGCATTGATAAATTACATTTATATATCTATTTATAAATATATTGCTATTTACACATATACATTTATATACTCTATAATTTTATTTTCTTTTTTATTGGTTGCTCAAAACATTACATTGATCTTGACATATCATATATCATACATTTGATTCAAATGGGGTATGAATTCTTATTTTTACCACATGTACAAATTGCAGAATCACATTGGTTATACGTTTATACATACTGTCATACTAGTGTCATATACATATGCATATGAATGATATAGTATCTTTAAAAAATTAATCTGCCAGGACTATCAGTAGACTACATGAGTACATCCATATTGTCTTGAGCTTTCTTTGTTCTTTGGCTTATTTTACACCCTTAAGTCTGTTATTTCCAAATATTCACGTTTTCCTATACTATTCTATTTTCTAAAATATAAGAATTAGGCCACAATAGCAGGTCTTGCTGAGTAATGAATGTAGTGTCTTAACAGCAACAATGGTGTGCTATTCCTCATGAGTATGGCAGTTCCCATGAGACGGGCTGGGCTCTCCCATCTGGTGGGAAAGCCAAGGCATGCTGCCATGATGATGGCAGGCATGCGACAGAGAAGAAGTAGAATATTTGTGCTTTCATCAGGTCTCATAACAAAAGAGACTGGATCTTTTCACACAGCATCTTGCTGTATGGATACAGGAAAGTGGAGGACTGGACCCTCGAGGCAGATAAGCTGTCTCAGAAACTGAATGCCCTGGCCTTTCTTCTCTTCTATCAGCAGACGTATTACAGRTAGATCGTGATCAGTTTATAGAGTGGTTGATTCACAGAAGGGAATTTTACTATATAATAATATTTTTCTCCTATGGTTTTTTCTCGAAAATTATTAAAGATACTCAAAGTTACAACTTAGGTAGTATAGGCAGAGGAAAAAAGATGACCAATCAGTGTTTCAACTTGGAAGATCATCATAAACAGACATAAATCAGGACGAAGGTAGGTAATACCAGGGTGCTTTCTATTCATGGGGCTTGATTTCTTAATCTATGGAAAGGAATGTGTGGGAAAGTCAGATCATTTCTAACTGGATAATCTAGACAATTGCTTTAATACTTTATTTATATATACACACAGGTCTTTCAAGAGCCCTCACAAATCTAATTAGTGGAGAAAGTCTGATGACCTCTGTTATATCAATAATTGTATTCAGTACTGTTGTGAATATTAACTTCAAAAGACAGTATTCGAAGGCCAAACCCCTAGGTAAGGACCCCCCTTTTTTTTCTCAATTTCTTAAAATAAGATTTCTGGATTTTCTGAAAGCTGACGTGAGTTTCATAATATCTTGCCATAAACTATGCTTATAGATACAAAGTAGTATTAGTAAAGTATGGGTGCAGTGGCACATGCCTGTCATTCCAGCAGCTCAGGAGGCTAAAGCAGGAGGATCGCAAGTTCAAAACCAGCCTCAGTAAAAGCAAGGTGCTAAACAACTCAGTGAGACCCTGTCTCTAAATAAAATGCAAAATTGGGCTGGGGATGTGGCTCAGTGGTCAAGTGCCCCTGAGTTCAATCCCCGGTACACCCCCCGCCCCCCCAAAAAAGAAATAAAATAGTATTATATACTGATTTACCCTTTATATAGTGCTGCCACCACAGCTTCCTTATTTAATTAATATCAGTTATGATTTTGTTGTGAATATGGTTAGGAGCTTTTCCTGAGGATGCCTAAAAGAGCCAGATTCCCCAGACCTGGTCTAAACCAAAATGCTAGACAGGGATGTGAGTAGGGGCTGTTGTTAAGGTGCTGCAGAACAGCTAAGAGGATAAGCCAAGACGTATATTTACTAGTAGTGGGAGGAGACAGCTTCCCTTCCATTTGCCCTGGGACTATCTCCCAGGAATATCATAGAAAGAGGTCAACCCAGGGAGAAAGTGAGTTACATAACCATCTACAGGGCCAGAGAGCAGTGCTGCAGACAGCAGCGGTGCCATAAGTGCTCTCATTCACCCTTTTCAGATAACCCTGAAACATGAGGGATTTCCCCCCTTTATCATATGCACATGTGTGCATAAAATAAATGACATATGTGCATTATAATAAGTGATCTTAAAATATATCTGCGTAATTATCACTCAGGACAAGAAATAGACTGCTAAACTTGTAGAAGCATTCTTACTTAGTCCTCCTCCCTGGTATTTTTGGTATTGGGGATAGAACTCAGAGGYACTTAATTTCTGAGCCACATCCTCAGCCCTTTTTTATATCACTGAGTTGCTTAGGGCCTCACTAAGTTGCTGAGGCTGGCTTCAAACTCGAGATCCTCCTGCCTCAGCCTCCCAAGCTTCTGGGATTACAGGCATGTGCCTCCATGCCCATGCCTAGCAAAAAAAAAAAAAAAATCATTCTTAATGTGTAATCCGATTCACTAGGCAGTGGGAGAAGGGGAGAAGAGGTGTCCATGAAATAAGAATATTTTCATAATAATACTAAGAATTTATTTACCTTTTTTTTTTTATCATGTTGGCATTTGCACTCATTTTGGGAAAAGCAGTGGTTATTGGCCTTCTTGAGAAAATGATAACAGTATTCCACTCACCAGGCGTCTTCTGTAGCATTTCTACATCCCACTATCACCTTTCTCCCCTTGAGCAAAGAATGTTTGGGAGGTGCCTCCAGGGCATGGTCTAGCCCACCGAGGGGTCTGTATGATACCAAATAAGCCACTCTGTTGAAATGGCACTGGRTTCGATTCTCAGCACCACATATAAATAAATTCATAAATAAAGATCCATCAACAATTTAAAAAAAAGAAATGCAATCTTTCTGCTACATTTCTCTCAGAAATGAAGACTATCCCAAATTACCTTTGTAAACACTAAAAAAGTGTGGTGCTAGCTATACTTTCTCCTGTGTTAGAGAGTGCTTTGTTGTTGAACATCCAACAACTCTGTTCACTTCTATTCTGATCCACCTCTGCTTTGCCCACCCTAGGTCTAAACTTCTAAGTAAAGACTATTCTTTCCCAAGAAGACCCATCTTGGGGACTACTTCTCATCTCTTCCTTAAAGGAGCTTCCTTATCCAATTTGGCAATATGAAGCCCTTGCTTTCAGCCTCTGAGACTTGTGAGCAACAAACTAGTAAAAATTTCCTGCAAATATAATCTTCCTGAATATGACTAAGGTGAAAATAGGAGATTTTCTGTGTCCAGAGCATCCTAAAAACCGAAGGGCATCTGGGCACTGTGTCACATGCCTATAATCCCAGCAGCTTGTGAGGATGAGGCAGGAGAATTACAAGTTCAAAGCCAGCTTCAGCAAAAGCAGGGCACTAAGCAACTCACTGAGACCCTGCCTCTAAATAAAATACAAAATAGGACTGGGGGTGTGGTTCAGTGGTCGAGTGCCCCTGAGTTTAATCCCCAGTACCCACCCCACGCCAAAAGAAAAACAAAAAACAAAAACTGAAGGGTCAACCTAGGTATAACTGAAAAGTACAAAGAAGTAAAATGGTTCATGCCAGTCAAGAAGATTCATGTCAGCTACTAGAATAGTATTGTACCGGGCCCCATTTAAAATACGATATATTGCCAGGTGTGATGGTGCACTCATGTAATCCCAGTCTCGGGAGGCTGAGGCAGGAGGATTGCAAATTCAAGGCCAGCTTCAGCAATTTAGCAAGACCCTAAGCAACTTAGCAAGCCCTGTCTCAAAATTAAAAAAAAAAAAAATTAAAAGATCTAGGGATGTGTCTCAGTAATAAAATGTCCCTGGGTTCAAATCTTCAATGCCAAATAAATAAATAAAATATGATGTAATGGTCACAGAATTTCAGAGAAACATATCAGAAATTATATCTACAGTCTAATCTAGAGGACTTTCTTGAAAATCACTATAAGGGGAAAGAAGAGGAAGAAGGGGGGAGTACTAATGTGAAAATTCACTCATTCTTTAATTCAACAATTATTTAGTGATGGGCACAATGTCATAGATTTTACTCTAGGATCTAGGAATTCATGAACACAGTAGACAAAACTGCCTTCCTTTGATAGAGATTGCCTTGTAGTTTTGATGGCCATCAATGGAACAGAATTTTGTGGACTTATTTTTAGGTTATTATTAGAGAGCTAGAAAACTAAAATAATAATAGTAATAACTCCAGAAATAAAAACCATGCTGGAGTAATTTACTTAGACATGAGGACTTTGAACTTGTAATAACTTTGAAATAAAAATTTTCCTTAAGAAATTAAACACGCAGCCAGCACCCACTTCTGCAAGCGGCAGGCACCCGGAGCTGCACGGCCCGCCCCGCCCGAACCAGCAGGCGCCCTCCACCATCCGGGCTCTCACAGGAGGCCCATCTCTCGCTCTGCGAGCGGCTGCCCCACCCGCCCGGCTCTTAACCACGCGGCAGCATGAAAAGACAAGGAAAGAAAGGACCATAAGCAATGCAGGTCAACTCAACTTTAGAAGAGGCAATAGCTGCATCAGATGGAATGTCAGATTAAAGAGTTCAGGATATACATGCTTCAGATGATCTGGAGTCTCACGGAAAACATAAAACAGCAAAATCAGACAATGAAAGATCACATTGATAAGGAACTACATAAACAAATACAGGAAGCAAAAGATCAATTACACAGGGAGTTAGAGGTAATAAAAAACAAGCAAATAGAAATCATAGAAATGCAGGAAGCAATAAACCAACTTAAAAACTCAATTGAGAATATTACCAGCAGAGTAGATCACTTAGAAGAGAGAACATCAGACAATGAAGACAAAGTATTTCAACTKGAAAAGAACATAGACAGCTCAGCAAGACTGCTAAAAAACCATGAGCAGAACATCCAAGAATTATGGGA